ACGCCGTAAAGTAAGAAGGGTGCACACTCTGACACCACGCCGTAAAGTAAGAAGGGTGCGCACTCTGACACCACGCCGTAAAGTAAGAAGGGTGCGCACTGTGACACCACACTGTAAAGTAAGAGGGGGTACATTCTGATACCACACTGTAAAGTAAGAAGGTTGTACACCCTGTTACCACACTGTAAAGTAAGAAGGGTGTACACTAGGACACCACACTGTAAAGAAGGGTGTACACTAGGACGCCACACGGTAGAGTGAGAAGGGTGTACACCCTGACGCCACTCTGTACAGTAAGAAGGGTGTACATTCTGATCACCATCTTAGAAATGAAGAAAATAGGACTTGGAAATTATGTCAGTTGCCCAAGATCATATAGCTAACAAGTCAGCTGAGAGGTGAACTCACATCCTCTTTTCACTGAACTTTGGGTAACTATGAGGAAAGATCCAAGTAGTCTTTTCATTCACTCATTCAACGATACTTGGTATTCTATTTGTGAATCTAGCTTTACTTCATCTTCCAGTGGGCTTCTAGTCTTTTTATTCTTGATTTGCAGCAGTTCTTTGTACATTTTCTAGATTTTAATTGTTTGTCAGTTTTGTCCATTGCAAATATCTTTGCCTGCTCTAGTATCTGTTATGTTTAACTATGGCATCCTTTGTTGAACAGAAATTTGTAATTTTAAAGCTGTTGCCTTGTGGTTTTGGTTTTTGAATCTTATGTAAGAAGTTTTTCCCTCCCATTAGGTACCATATATCAAAGATAATTGTCCTAGATTTTTTTCCTAATATGTTTGTAACTTTATCTCTCATGTTAGTATTGCTAATCTGTCAGAAACCCATTAAGGATGTACTTACTTTAAATTTTGATATAAGCTGCCACATCCCCTTCCAGAAATATTGTATGCAATTACATTCCAACCAACAGTGTTTTGAGAACGCTTATTAATATTCTGTTTTTAATTTCTTTCTTTAAATTTTACCATACTAGCTCAGCACCTGTGGCTCAAGTGGCTAAGGCGCTAGCCACATACACCTAAGGTGGCGGGTTTGAATCCAGCCTGGGCCTGCCAAACAACAATGATGGCTGCAACCAAAAAAAAAAAAAAAAAAAAAGCCAGGCGTTGTGGGAGCCTGTGGTCCCAGATACTTGGGAGGCAGAAGCAGGAGACTTACTTGAGCCCAGGAGTTGGAGGTTGCTGTGAGCTGTGATGCTGTAGCACTCTACCCAGGGGGACAGCTTGAGGCTCTGTCTCAAAAAAAAAAATTTTTTTTTTTGCCATACTTAGGGGAAAAAAGTGATATCTCATTGTTTTAACTGTTGTGAACCATCATCATCTTTTCATATATTCATTGCCCATTGATATTTCTTTGGCAAGTTAACTAGAAATATATTTTTGTTGTTTTCTTTATTTTTTCATGGATTTATAGGAACATTTTGTGTGTTATGGCTATAAAGGTCTACATGATTTTTCTCCCAGTCATTTATCTTTTAACTTTGGTTATGCTATCTTTTGTTATCTATGATTCAGGGCTCTTTTTACGTAGATTATATGGAGTGATACTTATCATACTAGAAACTTAATATGGGAAATTTAAAATACTTTTAATTATAAAAATACAATAAGTCTATTACATGTTAACATATTATATCAGGCAGGGCTCTATCACAGAAGTGGAAGCAGTAGAATATATATATTAAGAGACTAATTGCAAAGAAATTGGCATATGCTGTTGTGGGGACTCTCTGAAATCCTTAGGACAGACTGTCAGAAAGGCCAGCTAGAACTTTCAGGCAGGGGCTATAAGTTATAGTCCACAGGTAGAATTTCTTATTTTTCAAGGAAGTTTCAGTTCTGTTCTTAAAACCTGTTAATTAATTAAGTCAGGCCCACCCAGATGACATAGTCTAATCTCTTTTACTTAAAGTGAACTGTTTATGGACATTAATGACATCTGCAAAATTCTTTCACAGTAATGCACAGATTAGTGTTTGACTGAGTAACAGAATATAGCCTAGCCAAGTTGGCCCACGAACTGACCATCACACACATTTTTTTTTTTATGGAAAATAAATATGTATTTTCCAAACTTAAAAAAAATGAGAGAAGAGTGACATTGTTTTACATTTTTGCAAATCTCTTTAATGTATGACCTGATAAAAGTCACCTGGATTCTAATATTTTCTTCTGTATTCAGTCTGTTCAAATATGTTGTTTTCACTGAAATATTTCAAGGTTAGGCTTCACACAGATAAGTAGTTACAAAATCAAAGAATATTTTAATAGTCTTTTCAAATGGTTATAGATATTCTTCTTTGCTTATCACCAAGACTTAAGTGATAATTGCTTAGAGGTTAGTTATAATGTAGAATCTGAAATCACATTAGTAATTTTTTTGTACTGTTACATTAAAATTTATTGATCTTTCTTGCACTTTTAATGGGTATTTACCCACACATGATTTTGTAATATTATGCTTTTGTCATTTAGAAAATATTGGTTCATTGACTCATGGAGTTCTTTTAAATGTTGTCACATTTCATTATTTAATATGAAAAGAAATCTTATTAATTAATATCTCCACTGATCTGAACCAAAGTATTTAAGTATTGGGAATCAGTCATACTTTTTAAAATTCTGATTTTTCATTGAAACCTTGAATTTTATCATTTGCAAAAAAATACTATCACTTGTTTTTCTTGAAGGACCAGGATTACTTTGTTTATTTTTTTATTTTTTATTTTTTTTGAGACAGAGCCTCAAGCCGTCCCCCTGGGTAGAGTGCTGTGGCATCACAGCTCACAGCAACCTCCAACTCCTGGGCTCAAGCCAGTCTCCTGCCTCCGCCTCCCAAGTAGCTGGGACTACAGGTGCCTGCCACAACGTCCGGCTGTTTTTTTGTTAGCAGCCATCATTGTTGTTTTGGTGGGCCCAGGCTGGATTCGAACCCGCCACCTTAGGTGTATGTGGCTGGCGCCTTAGCCACTTCAGCCACAGGCGCCGAGCCTACTTTGTTTATTTTTGAGAAAATGTATGCCTTATACTCAGGTCTGAAAAACCATAATTTGTCTGTCAATCATTCTTTCAAGTAAAAATGGTCTTTCATGGAAAAAGTGACTTGTATAGCTCACAGCTCAAACAATTGTACATGTGTTTTTCCTTAAGATCATTGGTGTACTTCAGAATGTAGCAGAAATACTTTTATATTGTCAAACAGAATATTAAAAAGATAGCTGTAAAGAGTGCTGGCATCATCATAGCTCACTGTGTACCCTCAAACTCAAGGGCTCAAGCAGTCCTCCTGCCTTAGCCTCCCAAATAGCTGGGACTACAGGTGCCTGCCACAGTGCCTGGCTAAAGTTTCTATTTTTAGTAGATGGGGAGTCTTGCTTTGCTCAGGCTGGTCTAGAACTCCTGAACTTAAGGGATGTACCTGCCTTGGCCTCTCAGAATATTAGGATTACAGATCCCATCCACTGCATCCAGCATCCTTTTTTTAAGGAATTTATTTTGTTTATATCTTTAAAATTCCCGTTCTCTTCTCAGAACTCTAACTATTTAGAAATGAAAATACTGTTTTCTTTGTGCTTTTGAGTCTCTAAAGGGAACATAAAATATAGGATAGTTTATGGCTTTTCCTCACAGTGTCCCTTAGATGGTTCAGGACTAGAGCTGGTGAAGTGTCATTTTAAATCGGAGACAGGTATACTCCAAAAAGTTACATTTTAACCAGAAATATTTGTGATTTCTAGTACTGTTCTCCATGTCTTATAATACTAATAATGACAGTTATCTCTGTTTCAATGTATCACTCTCCTATGCTTGGCCTACTCCATATATTAGATTTGTGTTTAGAAAATCATTTTTTTTGTTTGTTTACTAAGAAACTACTGGATAGCATTAATTTGTTTAGTGATAATAGCTTTCAAGTTACTAAGGAACTATGGCATAGCAGTATTTGTGTAAATTAAGTTTCAACGGAAAAAGCACATTTTTCTGGAAGGAGATGTGGAGACTTACTGATATCTGGTGATTAAAATGATAATATATGATATTTGTTCAAATACACCTCTTTCATTCAAGAAAATGAAAACATTCTTCTTATTTACTAAAAATATAGCTGTTACTCAAAATGTCATTTATGAAAAACATGTTTAATTTCAAAAAGGTAAATCTCAGAGATACTGTTTCTTGCTCAAAATTAGATGAGATCTCTTGCTGGTCTCATGCTCTACCTGCTAAACTGTGTTAGTACTTAAAAGGGGGAATTGGCTCGGTGCCTGTGGCTCAAGAGGCTAAGGCACCAACCACATACACCTGAGCTGGCCGGTTCGAATCCAGCCTGGGCCCGCCAAACAACAGTGACGGCTGCAACCAAAAAATAGCTGGGCGTTGTGGCGGGTGTCTGTAGTCCCAGCTACTTGGGAGGTGGAGACAGGAGACTCGCATGAGCCCAGGAGTTAGAGGTTGTTGTGAGCTGTGATGCCACGGCACTCTACCCAGGGGGATAGCTTGAGGCTCTGTCTCAAAAAAAAATAAAAAGGGGGGCGGGAATTTATATTCTGCACCTGTATTACTAAGTCTTTTTGCTTATACTTGCTCTATTGATAAGACTTGTGAATTTTTCAAGTAAGTCACTATAGTTTCAACAATGTGGTTTTAAAGATAATTGACTATTTTTGTTTGTACTGTGTTGACTCCCCACAGACTGGTTGAGATAGCAGAATCCCGTTTTCCCAGCTATTTTAATGCTGAAGAAAAATTACTTTTGACAAGTAGTAAAGTTCATCTTTATCGGGAACTCAGCTGTGATGAAGTTCTGCAAAGGTATGCTGTTATAGATTGCAGTATTTTAAGAATGCATTGAATATGGAGTCATTGTAGCTCATAGCAACCTCAAACTCCTGGTTTCAAGTGATCTTCTTGCCTCAGCCTCCCATAGTAGCTGGGACTACCAGCATGTGCCACCACAGTGCCTGGTTAGTTTTTTCTATTTTTTATAGAAATAGGGCCTCACTCTTGTTCAGGCTGATCTCAAACTCTTAAGCTCAAGCAATTTATTCACCTCGGTCTCCCAAAGTGGTAGGATTACCAGTGTGAGCCATTGTGCCAGCCAGAATGTGATGTTTTTATGGTTTTAGCTCCTGAGTTAAAAAAAAAAATCCTTATATTTTAGAACTATGGGAAATAGTTCAGTATTCTTTTATTTGTTATAGAAGTCTCTAGTCTGCCATCTTGCCTACACCTCCTACTGACTATCTTATAAATTCTGTTTTTATAGGATTGAATCTTTGGAAGAAGAAATTATTTCAAAAGGTGTTAAACTTGTGATTATTGACTCTGTTGCTTCTGTGGTCAGAAAGGAGTTTGATACACAACTTCAAGGCAATCTGAAAGAAAGAAATAGATTCTTGGCAAGAGAAGCATCTTCACTGAAGTATTTGGCTGAGGAATTTTCAATCCCAGTAAGTTATTCTTTTTTCTCTTTCTTTTCTTTGTTTCCTTTTATATAAAGTTCATTGACTTGTAATATCAGGGAATGAAATCAGAGGAAAATGTAAAACAGATGGCTTTCTAAAGGTCTGATTGCTACAGCAAAATCACCATCATCTTCAATTAGTTCATCTGCTGAGATTATTTCATTCTTTCATAATTTGTACCTAGAGCACATTTAAATGTTGTTTTAGAAATTCTTATAGTCACTACTTTTCTACCTTCTCATAATTTACAGTTAGTGTGTATTTTATATCACATTTGTCACACTATGATAACTATCAAGTAGTAAAACTTTATGAAATTACCTAGGTTGTATATTCCTAACACATTGGGAGGCTGAGGTGGGAGGATTACTTGAGGCCACAAGTTTGAGACCAGCCTGGAAACATAGGCAGAGCCTGTCTCACCCCCCGCCCCCCAAAACAAAAAACAACCATAATATTAGCAGGGTATGGTGGCACATGCCTATAGTCCCAGCTTTTTCTGAACCTGAGAGGAGGATTATTTTACCCTGGGTGTTGGAGGTTGCAGTGCACTCCAGCATGGGTGACAGAGTGAGACTCTGTTTAAAAAAATAAATTAAAAAAAATTAATTTCATCTATTTCTGTGCAATGTTCTTTTGTTTTTGAGATAAGGTCTCACTCTGTTGCCTGGGGTAGAGTGCAGTAGTGGTGTTACCAGAGCTCACTGCTACCTCAACCTACTGTGCCTGAGCAATCCTGCTGCCTTAGCCACCCCACTACCTAGGACTATAGGCATGAACCACTGTGCCAGGCTGATTTTTCTTTTTCTCTTTTGTAGAGACAGGGTCTTTTTCTTGCTCTGGTTGGTCTTGAACTCCTGGTCCTAAGCAGTCCTCCTGCCTTGGCCTCTCAAAGTACTGGAATTGTAGGTGTAAACTACAACACTGGTCTATGTATTTTTTTTTTTTTTAACTGTAGTAGCTGTCAATTTGGTAAGTATTTTAGGTTTAAATATTGTGTTATTGTGTTCAGTGCTGTTTTGTACACAGTAGGTTTGTTTCAAATAATGAGAGGTCACCCATCCAAGGATTTTTGGAGTGATAGTAATGACAGTGCCATTTTGAAAGATTACTGTTGGCATTGATTTCAGTAGTGAGCATTGTGATCAGGGTATCTGGAGATGAGGGGATATTGCAAGGGCTTATGGTATAAGAGTTACATGTTGTAAGTCTGTGCTGAGTAACACTACCATCTGCAGTGTGGGGGAGAGTTCCACTTGTTCCATAGCCTCACCAACATTCAGGCTTTTCAATTTTACTCATGCCTCATCTCAACAGAAAAAAAATCTTTGAGATAAAATTGGGTTATGATTTGGGTTTAGATTTGTTTTTGGAAAATTTAAGTCTTGGATCTCTGCAAATTAAAGAATATGTATAAATAGTATAAACTACCAAATAGCCTTTAAGATCTTTATTTGTGTTTGAGACAGAGTCTCACTCTGTCACCTTAGGTAGAATATCGTGATGTCGTCATAGCTCACAGCAACCTCAATCTCTTGGGCTTGAGGAATCCTCATGCCTCAGCCTCCTGAGTAGATGAGACTAGAGGCATCTGCTACAATGCCTAGCTAATTTTTCTATTTTTGGTAGAGTGGGGTCTTAACTCTTGCTCGAGCTGGTCTTGAAAACCCTGAGCTCAAGTGATCCTCCCACTTTGGCCTCCCAAAGTGCTAGGATTACTGGCATGAACCACCATGCCCGGCCTAAGCCTTTGAGATTTATTAAGCCAAGCAAGAAGTCAAGAGAGAAAATGTGACATGTAAAAAGTTCTACATATTTTAATGATGTATTCATATTTTGGATTAAAGTGAAATGCTGTAAGGTTTATTTTGGGTGATGCTCATCTTTCACATTTTATTGTAGTTGGTTAAAATGATAAATTCAAATTTATATCTTCCCTAGTCTAGAATAAAGGAATTAAAAATATTTTATAGAGATATTTGATTGAATGGAAATTTAAGTATATAGTTGACTTTCCATATTCATAGGTTCTTTGCCCTTGAGTTCAATCAACCACAGATAGAAAATATTTGAAAAAATAACGAAAAGATACACCGAACATATACAAATCTTTTCTTGACATTATTCCCTAAACAATACAGTATAATTGTGGTTTACATAGCATTTATATTGCATAAGGTGTAGACATAATCTAGAGTGATTTAAGCCTACAGGAGGATATGCATAAGTTATATGCAAAGGCGATGCTGTTTAATAGAAGGGACTTGAGTGAGAGGAGTCCTGCAACCAAACTCCCTGACGATACAGGAAGATGACCGTATATGCTTATTTTATTAATTCATACTATTGGTTGGCTTAATTCTGTGCAACATGTGAAAATTCACTTTTTAAAAGTGATGTTTCTTTTAAAGTAGTAATTATAGGCTAATGCTTCTCAGTTTTCTTTGTACTTTATTTTCCTGAGTGGGAAACTCTTTTTTAAATTAAACCCTCTCTCCAAAAAAGGTATTTAGTATCTTCACATTTCTGTATTTGCCTTTGTTTCTCTCTTTAGAGATAAATGTAGAATATACTATGTGCTTATATAACAGGGTAGTATTAGTTTTTTTGTGACAAGTAAGTATTGATTTTACAAGGCTTTGTAAAAAAACATTCTTTAGGAAATGTCAGAATTCTCCAAGCCTAATCACTGCAATTTAATGCAGTGGCTCCAAGGAGTAGGGTGCTGGCCCCATATGCCAGAAGTGGCAGGTTTAAACCTGGCCCTGGCCAAAAACTACAAAATAAATGGAAAATCATGAACTTGGAAGGTTTTATGTTTTACTTTGAACAGGTGACTTCATACAGAATTAAATATTTTAAAATAGTATGTTGGTGTCTGGTTCATTTTACCTTTCTTTTCTTTTCTTTTTTTTTTTTTTTTGAGACAGAGCCTCAAGCTGTCCCCCCGGGTAGAGTGC